GTTTAGATTTCTCATTACAAACAGCGTTACATCGGCCGGGCTGGGCCTGCTCGCCAGCCGCCAGCCGCCACGTGCTGGCTCCTCATGCCGGTGGGGGGACGGGGACCTGCCAGCGCCGGGGCAAAGCATCTGGTGGGGACGGCCACCGCTGGCTCCAGCAGCCGTCGTGGGCAACCCGTGCCACCAGAACTCACCAGTGCCTCAGGCCACTACCCCCTTTTAAAAAAAAAATAAATTTAAAAAGCAGTAAATACTTGTTTTTCCTACACAGGCAGGAGTCGTTTTAAAGTGACTGAAATCAGAACAATTAGTTGTTTAGATTAATTTCAGTAGTTGCTATTGCCACAGACAGAAAATAAACTGAAATAAAATGTAGTGCAACCCTTGCTTTATCTCCAGTTTTGATGAAGTAATAAGTTTTGGCTGAAAGGCTTGAGGTGACACTTTGTAACTGGTGAATGTGGTTATTTAAAACAGAGAAAATTACCTTTGGCACCTTGTAAATGAGCAAGTGTGACACATAAAACATTAATATTATCTCAAATAGAAGAATAAAATAAGGATAAAATATTATAAAGGAAACATAAAGATGGCTAAACAGCCCTGCTTTAGAGAGTCAATGGGTATGCTACAATTTTGCTTTTGAAATCTATTTTTAGTAACTATTTATGTGCAGAAACATACCAAAAAAATATAGGCGATATGTTGTATATCCCCCACAAAATATTATGGGAAGCAGACATGATGGTGTGAAAGGGTCTGAAAAAGTCATCCAAAGAGACAGCGAGACTTCCTCAATGCTCCATAGGAAGTGCATTTAATTGTATCATACCATATAAACTTATCATGAAAAGAAGAACGTTCAGGGATAGACAAAATATTGTGGCAGATGATATTTGGATAACTTCCAAGCACACTAAGACATGTTTTCAGTTTGAACCAGAAGCTTCTGTTCCTAATTTCTTAAGAAAAAAAAAAAAAAAAGGAAAAAAATCAAGTAATTGAAAATGGATGCAACTGCTCCTCTACTCCGGAGGTTCCGAGGAATTTCTCTGATTAGTCATTTGAAACAGAAAGGAGCTTGATCTTCACTACACCTGTCAAATGTCTTCACCATTTTTGTTACTAAAATATTATATTTCAAGCTACTAAAATGATCTTATTTTTTCAGTGTACTGGACCTGAATTTTCTACTGTTCCTAACAGTTTTGTGTGCATGCAGCAGAACTAATGAAAATAGTTCATATTCACAGTAGACCTGAATAAGAACACTGGAGTTTGCTTTCAAAGTTTAGAGTAACAGTAATAACAGCACATGGTGTTTTCATCTCAGAAACTCAAAATGTTGTACAAACACAGTTAAGCATCATCAGCTTGATACAGGATGACTTACTGTTTTTGTTTTGCAGATTGGTAGCTTGAGATTTAAAGAAATTAACTAGCTTTCCAAAAGACACATACAGATCAACAGGTAACCAAGGAAATTACAAGAAGAAATAAGAAAGAAACCAAGTAGTAAAAAAAATAATGACATATTTAACATTAGGCAGACTTCAAGTTCTCTCTTGATTGCTTTAAAGCAACTGTGAATCAATTCTCATTTTTAAAACAAATAAGGAGATAAATAAGTAGAGGTCATTGGTTAAATCAATTTAATCAAACCATAATAAGGTTTGAAAAATACTGTGCAGTACTTTAAATAAAGAAGTATCAACAAAAGGGCTGTGAGGGAGTACTTTCTTACCATTTTTTTGGCTAGCAAATTAAGGTTAACATGAAGGAGTGGCTGATGAAAATGATTCAATGGCAGCTGCTCGTACACCAGGGCACGAGCAGGAGCCTGCATCCTCAAAGGGACTATGATTCATTTCTAGGAAGGCTGATTAAGTTAAAATTGTAACCACAGCTTGATAGTACCCGCCCTTCAGGACAGTTGTCCGCTCTGACACATGAGACAGCAGTCTCTCCAACTGCCAGACACTGAGTATGTGGCATTTATCATTTTCTGCTTTCAGGTAAGTGTGAGGAGACTGAACTGGGACAATACGAACAAATATCTTCCACTGAAAAATTTCCCTCAGACCACTTGAATGAGTGCTACCTAATTTTACCTGGACTGGAAGTAAAAATGGGCAATCAGGAAACAGAACAGCATTTCCTTAGGAATTGTCACAAATTACCACCTAAATATACACAGGAAATTCAGGATATTTTAGCTGATGTCTTGGCAGGGTACATGTAACAAATGGTAAATTCTGAAAGCCAGAGGTAGCCAACTGAAGCTGCATACCTTAGTGCACAGTGATTATAATAGAAGAAAACTGACATAAACCTATGAACAATTACCTTGAGAAGGCACAGCATTATAAACATAGATGAAAAATTCCATTTCATATTAATGAAAAATTCAGACTGAATTTCTGAAGAAAAATCTCACAAACAACAACCTAGAGAAACTTTCATCCCACAGCCAATGCTTTAGCTGCAATGACTGGAAAATGCCATCCCACTCTATTTTATACCTCTCCTAGTGCTATGTATTGCCTTAAACATTTCAGATGTTTAAAAAGATATTTTCTTTTAGTATTACTCAGTGTTTACTTTGTAAATTGCTATTGAAATACAGTGATATAAATTGCAAACCTATTAAAATTACAGCTACTAGCCAGCCCAGTTGTGATGTTGTATATGAAATGCAGCTATGTAAAATCCTGCTAGATATGATTCTCTTTATTCCTGTGCGATGCACCGGTTGGATTTTATACAAGTAAAGGGAATAGGATTAGACACTGTGGTTTCTGATTCTAGTGCATGTATATATCACATATATCTGACAGTCTATCTAGATGCTAAGTATGCATGAATTTGTGACATATGTGATGTTTTCTGAATCACAGAATATGAAAAAGCCAGATGGAATTTTTTAAGAGGTTATTTTTGTTCTGCAAGTGCTTTGGAGAAGCCAAAGAATTCATTAAAAATCCTATCTTGATTAGGAATTTTTTCTGAAAATATTAAACAAAATTTACAAAAAATACAGCATTTGTAGCTTAAGTCTAACAAGGAATCTTAGCCCTTTTTTTTCCCTACTTAATTACATATACTAGTTTCATTTGAGAGTCCTTTGAAAATTGTCAGGGTCAGAAAATGTTCTGAATGTCTAATCAAATGAAAAAGAACATTTTTTTAAAGCATCAGAATGTCAGTATTAAACTATGAGCATACTACACATTTCATTATCAAAAATCCTATCACTGCTGCAGCTCTTCAAAGAAGGATTGTGCATGACAGCGCCAAGAGACAGAAAACATGAGCCCCACCTGAACACTGACTTTCTAACACACATATGGATTTACTTCACTTCGAGTTTCCTGAATGAGCACTGTAGGTTGCAGGCTTTTTCAAGCACATCTAGTATAGCTCAATCATTGGCATATGTAGCAAAGCTAATACTCTGTAAAGCTACAGATGATAGAAATTAAGCTACCTGTCCCTGAAGTGGATGTGGAGGCATTAAAAAGGAAGGGAATGACTTGAGTGAAAAGAAACATAGGTAACGTTTTCTGACTGAATACAACTAATGTTTCAAGCACTGTGTGCAGAAATTCCCTGCTTTACACTACAGAAAGAACTTGATATGAATGCTTCCTGCAAGAAGTATATATGTGATAGCTTGACTTTCACAATGAAGACTTTAAGCATACTGAAAACAAGCTAAGAAACAAGAAGCCTCACAGCAGAGACATTTCAGCAGATGGACAGCTTGTACCATACCCCCTTGTGGCTAGAGTATTTCATATTAAGGAAGACTGACTATAAAGTTTGAAAGTTACCAACTCTTTATACCATGCTCAGGTTGTGGCATGTGTATGTGAAGGTGGAGAGGAAGGATATGGAAATACATCTGAGAGATTGTTTACGTAAAGGTCTTTCTGAAATCCCCTCAGTTGCTGAAACTGGAAATGTTACTTGCCCTGCTATTTACATTTACCTGGAAGTTACCTCAGAGAGGCAAAAAAGTGCATGTATAATAATTATAAACCAATTTAAAAATATATTTGTAAGTGTCTTCTCTTTTACCTGTCCCTTCCCTTGCTAGAGAATTGCCTCACTCATCATCTGTTTCAGTCCTCCTTCCTCTGGAAACCTCCTGGTATCTGCCAAATGGTCACTGGACCACAGCTCTGCTGACCAGAGATGCTGCTCACAGGCTGACACACTTCCACTTTTCACTCCTTCTATGGTGTATTCATCTGTGTGAGTTATTTCTCTTTCTTAAATAATTATTGTAAACACTGAAGTTGCCTTAAATATGCATCCACTGATAAGTATATGGCAATATAAAAGTGAGCAGAGATTGGGCTTGACTGTTCTTAGATGGAAGTTAATCCAGTATGCATTTCAGATAGATACATTTCCACAGAAATCTGGAAAAACTACTACTTTAAAAAATGCTGTCCTTTGATATAAGTGGTTATAAAACTGAGAAGTAAATAAAACCTAGCCAACTAACAACACTGTAGCTATATGCAGTAAACCGATTACGAAAACTGTGAGAAAGAATATAGAAGACTGCAGACCTCGTCGGTGATACTGCAGTGTATTGCAGGGCGAATTCCTGTGCTATAACTTTAAAAACGTTCAGAGTCTCACACTCTCATTTATGCCAAAGCAAACATGTTTCCATCACTGGGTTTTTTTAGTTCTCTGGCATGAAAATAGAAATTAAATATTCTTCTGAAGTGTTGCAAACTCTAAAAATTGTGTGTGGCATTTTGCTATGACTTCCAGAAAGGAGTCTGTCATTCTTGGAAACTGTTGGTGCCAGCAAATGCTAGCACATAAGTTTGTAATACTTTGCTCCTGACCATGAGGAGTACAGCTTCCCAGGTGCCATGTTCACAGCTCTCACCTCCCACTCCTACAGATGTCCTGGTGGTCATTCATCACTTCAGCAATTTCCACTAAGAAGCAAAAGGCCCTCGACGTGCTTCTCAGCTGCTGTTTCATCTCACCATGACTAAAGAAGCGAAGGTGTGCACATTGTCTCCAAGGAGCAACCTCTAATGAATGGCCTGTCAGCCATGTCTCTTCTTAAGGAACAAAGGAGAAAAAGTTTGCATGGCTGATGTCTCTTCCATAAATCCCAAATACAGGAAGTGTGTAAAAGCGAGCTACTTTAGGAAAACTATGTACAGTGAGCTTCCTT